GGGTTTTCAACCCATAATAATAAGTTCATTATTTAATTTCATCAAATCACTAACCCGATTACCCGTTTCTGTTATCCTCACTTTATGTCCCTAAAGCATCTATTATAAGGGTCCTATCCTAAGGAATTTCATCAGGATGGGCACTACTGCTAAAGGGATTCCTCAGCCATATGTGTCTGTCAGGCAACCATGGAGGGGGATGGAGTACATCTTCAAAAACCACCCACAGGTTGCGAGCATGCTAGAATTCCAATGGAGTGCCTAGAAAAGTCTGTGGTCGTCATCTATACTCCGCTAGATGACTGGATCATCTTAAACATCGTAAACATCGAGGCCTCTTATCTTTTTAACACACATCATTTATTTCAGCTACCCATTGCTCTACCCAACATATTTGTAGATATAAAATACATACACAGTCTAGATCTGAGAAAAAAAACAATGTTTACATCTTTCATTCAGCATAACTTTCAAAGCATAAAATATTTATACAGTCTAGATCTGAAAAATAATGTTTACAGCTTTCATCCAACATAAATTTCAAAGCATAAAATACATATACGATCTAGATCTGAAGAAAAAGTTCAGATTTGCAGGAAAGAAGTTCAAATCTTTCATTCAACATAGATCTCAAAGTATACAGATTAGATCTGAAGAAAAAGTTTAGATCTGAGATGAGAAAGTGTAGATCTGAAGGAAAAAGTTTTAGATCTGAAAGAAAGAAGTATAGATCTTCTCTTCCAACAAACATCTCAAGTAAACAGATGACATATATATATATATATATATATATATATATATATATATATATATATATATATATATATATATATATATAGCACATAATTTTATAACATACTTCATATATATGTGTAAGATGAAAGTGACTATACACTCACCTGATACAGAGTGATTTGGACAGCACCTCGCTTCTAAAAATAACCTTCTTTAACGAAACTGGGAAGTTTGCTTGAGAACCGGGCTCCATGTGGGCATAGTTTCAAACTGAAAAACCCTTTTTCTTGGAGACTCCGGGAGCCTCGGGCTTCCTTCGGTTGCTAGGGGGTTTACCTAGGCTTTAGGAGGGTTTAGAAACCTTAGAGAGAGAAAGTAGTGAGAGAAAGAATGAAAAAATGAGTGAGAAATCTGGAACATTTCGCATGGTATTTATAGGCCTGGACTTCGGACCGTCCGTTGGGCGTACAACTCAACTACAATGGGCGTAGTTCGGATAAGGTACAAGGTGGCGGTCTCCGAGTGGTGCGACGTGGAGCTTGCTGGGCCGAGTGGTGTGAGGCGTACGTTGGGCGTACCGATCTCGGATGCAGGGCGTATTTTGTGAGGCAACGTGTCGCAATCCGAAGCGAGCCTCTGATCAGCGATGGACGGCCCAAATCGAGCCATGTCATCACTATTCGCACCAACTTCGCAATTTCTAATTCCAACTTCAAAAATTCGTATCTTCCTCATGCGAGCTCCGTTTTTTATGTTCTTTATATCCACGAGTAGGCGGGAATGTACTCTGTAACTCTCGTTTAGACTCCGTTGGCTAATTTTAATTCTATTTTAAAAGTTATATTATTAACAGGCTGGGACAGGATTGGTCCGTTAAAATTTGATAACTTCTTCATCTAACATCCGTTTTCGTTTGTCTTTTTATCATTACGCTACTATTAATGAGATCTTCGTTTCTCGTTTAGGTTGTGTTGGCTAAATACCGCTCGATCTAATATTCGAACTCTGGGTTGTACACTGCTAAGCCGAAACTTCGAAAAATCATAACTTCTTCATACGAAGTCAGATTTGGGCGTTCTTTTTATGGACGCTCTTGGTTTAACATATTCTACGACTTTCGTTTTGGTCACTAAGGCTAAAACTTGCTCTATCGTAAATTCACTATTTACGGTCGTGCCTGTTCCGTTGCAAAACTTCGACGGGTCATAACTTCCTTGTTATAACTTAAATTTCGGCGTTCTTTATATCCCCGGAATCCTAGTTTCGACCACTACAACTTTATGTAAAGATATCTGGTTTATCTCACACTTTAATTTTGATGCTTATTTTTATCCTTTATTTATTATAAATTTATAAATAAATAATAAGCATATAAATTCACATAATACTCAAATATATCATCTTTTATTACTTCAAAAGGAGTTACAATAGTTAACCTAGACTATTACATCATCTAATAATGCTTAGCCCAGAACCGCGGGCGTTACAGGTTCTACATGGGGTGTAACCTCTGTACACAATCCGTAGCTCTACACTGGGTGTAGATTACTTACACAGGGCATAAGTCAACTGAGTGTTGACTATTGACTTTTTAACCAGTTTGACTTTTGGTCAACTGTGTTGGGACTTAGTATAGCAAGGGAAAAATAGTCTTTTGCTCAAAGGATGTTTAATTGTAACACCCCCGTCTGGCACGTATCACAATATTGTCCGCTTTGGGCCACTCGGCACGAGGACTTCCCAGGGGGTCACCCATCCCGGTACTACTCCTGCCCGAGCACGCTTAACTACAGAGTTCTTATGGGATCTGCTGCCCTCACGGCTTTAAAACGCGTTGTGATAAGGAAGGTATCCACACCCCTTTATAAGGAAATGTTTCGTTCTCCTTCCAAGCCGATGTGGGATCAGATCTAACCCACTTTAAGGTGGGTTGCACCTGATCCTACATCGGCTGGGAAGGAGAACTAAGCATTTCTTATGAGGGGTGTGGATACCTTCCCTATCACAACGCGTTTTAAAGCCGTGAGGGCAGCAGATCCCATAAAAACTCTGCAGTTAAGCGTGCTCGGGCGGGAGTAGTACCGGGATGGGTGACCCCCTGGGAAGTCCTCGTGCCGAGTGGCCCAAAGCGGACAATATTGTGATACGTGCCAGATGGGGGTGTTACAAATGGTATCAGAGCTAGGGCACGGGTCGATGTGTTCGATAGGGACGTCGAACCCTATAATGGGGGGTGAAGGTGGGTTGCACCTGATCCTACATCGGCTGGGAAGGAGAACTAAGCATTCCTTATAAGGGGTGTGGATACCTTCCCGATCACAACGCGTTTTAAAGTCGTGAGGGCAGCAGATCCCATAAGAACTCTGCATTTAAGTGTGCTCGGGCGGGAGTAGTACCGGGATGGGTGACCCCCTGGGAAGTCCTCGTGCCGAGTGGCCCAAAGCGGACAATATTGTGATACGTGCCAGATGGGGGTGTTACATTAATTGTCAGTCTAGACCTTTCGTGGGCCCGTCATTTCCTTAATTGTTAATTAGGGTTTTATTGTGGATATGTTTAGCAGGGGGTGGCTTGATATCATCGACTCAAGTAGTGGTTTATCTTGTCTTCAGGGTTGAGGTGAGTCTTCTCACTATACTTTTGGGTCAAAGGCACTAATGTTGTCCAACTAGATTGTGTTATGTAGGATGTTAGCTGTCTTTATGACTCTTGCATCTGTATGTGGGGTTGGACCCTTTTTATTTGTATATTTGGGCTAGGCCCATTTATATGTTGGGCGTGACCTGTTAGTTATGTTGGGCGGGGTCTGTTATGTATATTAGGCGGGACCCGATTGTATGGTGGGCAATGCCTGAGATTATGTATGGTTATATGGTACTTTGGGGAACTCCTTAAGCTTTATGCTTACGGTTTGTGGTTCAACATTTTTTAGGTGCTGCCAGTTTTAAAGGGAATAACCCGGCTTAACTGCACTGCATCCCCTGATGGCTTTTTCCATATTAGTTACTTTTGAGATACTCTGATTTTTGAAAAATACATTTTTACTTTGTTTGGTTTTGGAACAATTGTTTGCATAATGCATGAAAATATTAAATTATGTATTAATGAGTTATTATGTTTATTAAATTGTGAATATTGGATTTTAAACTATGAAGATTTATGATACACCATATAATTTATTAAAGAGATCTACAATTTAGAAATAAAAGAAATTTGAAATTTTCAAGTCCTAATTTGTTTTGTAGGAGTAAATTACAGGAATAGTCCCTATGGTTTGGGGTAATTTGCGTGATTGGCCCCTAAATTATTTTCTTTTAATTCGAAAGATCCTTACAGTTTGTTTTGTTACGCGTTTGGTCTCTGATTTACCTAAAAATACTATTATTTAAATAGCAAAAATGGTGGGGTAGGTAAGGTAAAGTGAGAGGGGTGGGGTTGATGTGTGTTTATTTAAATAAGTTAAAAAATCAAGGTAAAAATATTCTTTTTAGGTAAGACAGGGATCCAACGCGTAACAAAACCAAACAGTAGGGACCTTTCGAGTTACAAAAATAAGTTAGGGACCAACCATGCAATTTACCCCAAACCATAAGGACCATTCATGTAATTCACTTTTTTTAATAAAATTTTATATATTTTGACTGGAAAAATAAAAAATATTACTAAAACGATTGGAGCTACAATTTTTGTTCTGTTAAATTGTAAATACAATCAGAAAAATATTACTGAATTTACTGTTGGTCAAACAGTGTCCAACAACAATGTAGAATTTTATATTGAAATGGTTTTTCGTTTTTTTATTTTCGTTATCTGGTCCGTCGATTAGATTTTTGACTCATCACCGACAACCTATAAAATTTAAACAGCAAGGAACACCCTTATTTAAAAAATTAAGAAATGAACTCATAATTTTTTATAAATCATTGGACTAATGTAATTTAGTCTAATTAAAATATTATATATCTTTCAACAAAATAAAGATAAAATCAAACTCTAAGCAAATGCGTGACGATTCTCATTGATTAAATCATACGCAATTTTGACCACTAACATCATAATATTTCCACAAGGGAGGATTTACGTACATTCACATCTTTAACTAAAATTGGGTGCTCTTTGAGAAAAGAAAACTAAACCAATGGGGTGATTTTGTATTTTGTATTTTTTTTTTTTTTTTGTGCATTTAATTAGCCCATAAAATTTGGCTATTTATACCAAACCGTATGAATTATGAAACACACAGACTATTCCCGATATAAAACAATATGAGAAACTTTAATTTAGCGTTGCCATTCTCCGACTCTGATGGTGGAAACCAATCGGATCACCGGAAAATACCGTTTTCAGATGTTATGGTCACAAAACCTAGAGATCAATTTTATGGTCGAAAATGGCAACCTATAGACATTCAAGTGGCATTATGGTTCGCTTTTGTCCATATATTAACCCTCTTTGCACCATTTGCATTCACTTGGGATGCTTTTTGGATCGCATTTTGTGGTTACTTGCTTACTGGAATTTTGGGTATAACTCTTTCTTATCATCGACTTTTGTCTCATCATAGTTTCAAACTCCCCAAATGGCTCGAGTATATGTGTGTTTACTTTGGGGTCCTAGCTGCCCAGGTTTGTATTTAGCTTCACTGTTATACCGAATATAATTTTTGTTCAATTTGATTAGGATTTTGTTTATTTAAACATGTGTATTGACGAATGAATGAAGTAAGCAAAAAAAAAAAAAAAAAAAAAAAAAAAAACAAAACAAAAACAAAAAAATGTACTTATGTTTTTTAGGAAGTTTTATATGAATTTAATGAACTTTATATAATCTATATTCTAATAAAAAGAATAGTTTTATTCTCCTTTTGACATGTGTCATCTTATTATATCTCTTAATTAATGCATACTGGTTTACTAAGTGTAAGATCCGTGTATTACACGGATTGTTAAAGAAAAATAAAGTATTAAAATGTAAATAATAAGTATTTTTTAAAATAAAATTTTGAAATAAAGAATAAAGAAACATATTAATTGCAATTTATTATAATATTTATTACATTTGATACTTATATATATATATATATATATATATATATATATATATATATATATATATATATATATATATATATATATATATATATATAAGTATAAGATTATGTGTTTTTTTAATTTTAAAAATTGAAAAAACCCCATAAATTGACATGTGGATATTATTTATTTAAAAAATATCACAAAATGACAACCGTTAAAACTTATTAGAGATTGATATGTGGAAAAATTATCTTCATTTATTATAGTAGATAACCCATGGAAACCACGGGTTATAAAATCAATTGAACATTCATAGTAAAGATTTATAATTATTAATAAATTATTTTAAATATAATATTAATTAAGAAATATATCAAAATTTTAAAGTTATTATAACTTCAAATTTAACATATAATTAGAAAATGTAAATTTGAATTTTTGAAATGAGTTGCCTAATATATCTATATGACACACGATATAATATCGATGAAGAGTTTTATTAGTGTGATATTTGGTAAAAGAAGATTAAAACTATTCATTTATTAAAATATATATATATATATATATATATATATATATATATATATATATACTATGTGTCACCATATTATGTCTCTTAATTAATTGTTGACACTTGTCACTCTTGATTATTCATTTGAAAATTTAAAATTAAAAATTTTCACTCTATCTATATCAAAATAATAGCATGAAAAATTAAAATTAAAATAAAATTAATACAAATAATAAAATGATATAATTTCACATATTTATTTAAATCAATGATTATAAATCTTTATAACTAAAAAAATCTCTTAATTAATAATTTATTTAAAATAATTGATTAATAACTTTGAATTTTTATTATAATAGTTTAATTAATTTTGTAACTATGATTCTCACGGACTATAAACTAGTATTATATATATATATATATATATATATATATATATATATATATATATATATATATATATATATATATATATATATATATATATATATATATATAGTGGCTTATGAGTAATACGTTTTGTCTATTTCATATTTTTACCACACATCTATTTATTATTAGGACATTTAGTCCTTATAGTCTTGTAATTTACAAAAATAATCACTATGATTTATTTTACATAAATAATATTTAAGATTTTCATAATGAAAAGGTCATTAAAATATAAATAACATTATAATAAAAAATATTTTTCTATATTATTGAAATAAAAAATAATCAGAATCATATAATTTTATAAGAAACTTTGTTTATTTAATAACTATTTAAATATCTTATTTGGATTACAACTTTTCTTTATATTTATATTCCAAGATTTTGTGAGAAAACTAAAATCAAACGTTATTTTTATTCCAATAGAATGAACAATATAAATAATATTTATGTTATATTCTTACGTGCAGGGAGATCCAATATTTTGGGTGAGTATTCATAGATACCATCACAAATATGTGGATTCGAATAATGATACACATTCACCTCTTAATGGATTTTGGTTTAGTCATATGGGTTGGCTTTTTGACAGTGAATATATGGTTGAAAAGGTATAAAGTTTCGATAATTTGTTATAATTTTAATTTAGTATTATAAATTTATCTTTTCCATAATTTTAGAGGGTGTTTGGGTTTGCTTTAAAAACATCATTTGGACTTTTCACTTTTCCAAAAAATCATAAAAGTTCAAAAGATGTTTGTTAACTCAAAAAGTTCTTTTTAAAACAACTTTTCAGCAATAAAAAAATGTTGATTCTAAAAGTCACAAAATGGTGACTTTTGGACTCAAAAACAACTTTTCCATCCAAACACATTTTAAACCATTATTTTTGGAAAACAAAAAAAATACAAAAAGTCCTTTTATAAAAAGGACTTTAAGCTAAAAAAAAGGTCATACCAAACACCTCCTAAAATGACTTTTGTACTTTTAACTTTTCTAAAATGAATACTATCAGGAAAATTCTAATATTTTTGGAAAAATTTCATTTTAGTCTCGAAATTTATTTTTTGAACAGAAAAGTCCCGATTATTTCATTTTGGCTCAAATTAACAAAAAAAAATATCATTTTTTTCTTTTAATAGGAAATGACATATTATCGTGTAAAATCAAACAATCGAAACCATTCTATTTAAAAAAATAACATTTGGGACTAAAATGAAACTTTTCCAAAAAATATTCGGATTTTTAGGACAATTTCCCTTTCCAAGAAGTCAAAAATGTCCAAAAGATGTATATAAAAATTCTTTTTAAAACAACTTTTTGCTAAGAACAAAAAAACTGATTTTTCAAAAGTCATGAAATCATCCATTTTTGTTACTTTTGGCTTTTGACACTTAAAAACTTTAAAAGTTAATCCAAACAAATCTTAAAAACCTTATTTTAGAAAAAGTCATTTTACAAAAACTCTTTTTTATAAAAAAATATTTTTAAGTTTAAAAAGAAATCCCAACACACCCTTAGTCAAAACTCATGTTATAGTACTCGTCATGAAATTATTTTATATGTGGTTGTTTTAATGCAGTATCGGGAACGTAAAAATGTAGAAGATTTAAAAAATCAGACATTCTACATGTTTATACGGAAAACATACATGTGGCATTTATTTGGATGTGGTGCTCTCTTATATGCATGGGGTGGATTCACATACCTGGTTTGGGGAATGGTATATAAGTTTCATTTGAATTCATTTCATAAACTCATTATGAATAATTATTTCCCATATATTGAATACGTCATTTTTATAAACTTTTGATTTTTATATGATAAACTACGTGTGAGACCCATATATTACATGAGTTTATTTATGAAAAAAACACTAAATACAAAATTCTAAACATTTGAAAAGTATGAATTTATAAGAAAAATAAGAAAATATTAAATTATAAAAATTAAAGTGTCTTTTTTCTCTACTTAAACAAATAATTTAGATAAATAAATAAAGAAAATTAATGAATATTTAATTTGGTATTTTTAAAATTAGAAGGAAAATTTATTAATAAAATTGATACGCATTTATTGTTAAATATAAATACTATTTACAATTTAATAAAATGAAAAAAAATCATAAAATGACATATGGAATAAAAATTAATTTAAAACAACCACAAAATTACTTGTAACAAAATAAATAAGAATGTTACACATGGCAAAAAAAATCTTTATTGACTAGGAATGATAACTACAAAAAGACAACTTTTTTATAGAAAAACATATCCTCATACTTAAAAATCGTGTTTAAAGTTAGGGTTGACATGATATATATTGCCAAACCTATCAATATGGTCCATAAAAATATGATCTTACATGTTAAAGATCAACGAAAACCAAATGAAGGTTTGACAGATCTAGATCATGATCATATGGTTTGATCAAATAACTTGATTACCCTCCATTAATTAAATACGTTATAAACCAACAAAGTACATTACATTTTTTGGAAACAACCAATTTTATTAAAAAGACCCCGAAAGCAAGAAGCTAGACAATGACCAAATCAAAGAGTACACAAAGCAACAAATACATAGAAAAAAGAATGGGACAAGACCATTCCTCCTCTACAAATTCCTCATTTTATTCTTACATTTAATCCAAAGATAAACTAAGAATTTTATGTTCTTAGCCAAATTTTATAGGATTACATAATAATAAAATTGCATATTAACTATATTGTTAAAATTAACTAAGTTATTATCATCAATCAATGATTGAATTATTATTATACTATAAAATATTAAAATTTATGGTTATTCAAATCATATCAGAAAATATATGTATTTAAGAAGGTTGAAATTAATATGATTAATATGATTAATATTGATTGTGAACCAGATCAACTTAGTGGTCTTTATCGGTTGGTTCTATATTAAAAAAAATGTCTTTACTTTTGTAGTTAACATTAGTTTTAGCTATTATTATGGTTAATTAATTTAAACTGTTCTTTTAATATTCAATATGCAGATATTTGTGTATTCCTCACACACAAACACACACACACACATACATACATATATATATATATACATATATATATATATATATATATATATATATATATATATATATATATATAGGGTTAAGTTCATTTGAGACCACCTATATTTTGTGAGACCATGAGACACATTTTTTTATTTTATTTTTATTTTATTTTATTTTTTTTAGTTAATTCATGTTCCGAAAATAATATTTAAAAAAATAATTTTTTGATTTTTCCATTTATTTTGCATTTTAAAATTATTTTTAGAATATGTACAGTGTAATATTCTATTTAGAATATTTCACGTATTTTTCAAAAAAAATATAATTTTTTATTTTTTATTTTTTTTAGTTAATTCAAGTTTCGAAAATAATATTTAAAAAAAGAATATTTAGATTTTTCCATTTATTTTGCATTTTAAAATTATTTTTTAGAATATATCAGTGTAATATTCTATTTAGAATATTTCACGTATTTTTCAAAAAAAAAACGGAATTTTTTTTATTTTTTTTATATTTTTTTTAGTTAATTCAAGTTCCGAAAATAATATTTAAAAAAAGAATTTTTGGATTTTTCCATTTATTTTGCATTTTAAAATTATTTTTAGATTTGGTCTCACGGTCTCACAAAATTAGAATGGTCTCAAATGAACCTGAACCTATATATATATATATATATATATATAAAGATGAAAAATATTTCTTTAGGTATACTTTTAGTGGCATAAAAACAAATTCTCATTATTTAAATAATAAATTCTCATTGTTATTTTCATTACATATAATTAATTAAATAAGATTATCAAACATGTCAAATATTTACATAAATTTGTGGGAGTTAATGAATTAAAGGATGGAATTAATATAGTATTTCCTTCTCTAAATAAAAGAAAGCTAATTCTATTGATAGACATTTTATATCTACGAATAAAAGACTTTTTTCCTTTTTGGGTAGGGACCGACCTCCCACTCTCTTATCTTATGCAAAATTTATTAGCGGTTGGGTAGATTATGCATTAAGCCTCTCTTAACCCTCCATTTTTCATACATGTTTATAAAAGTCTCTTGTCTTTCAAGATCTAGTCTAGATGGTTTGGCTAAATGAAAGCATTACATATTTTGATATCTCCGGCTCCTCAATGAATAGTTGGTCTGTCTAACATTACATCATAATAGACAACGCTAATATAATGGCATAGCTAGTGTTCGTTTCCCTATAAAAAATAAATTGTTTGTTTTTAACTATTTTATTTGAATGATTTAAAATATAAAATGAAGGAAGATAAATAGATATTATCAATTTATGATATGATGTTAATGGATAATAATTATTGATTATTTTAAAATAATTAATTTTAATATTATATAATGTTTAGCATTATGAATATATAGGTGTACTACTTTAATGTATGGTTATAAAGTGAAATTTCAAATATAATCAATAAAATTAGAAGAATATAGAAAAAAAAAATTAAATCTAGACAAAACATCATTTTCCTTATAATTTCTTACAATGGTCCTTAACTTTAATTAAGTTTACAGAAAGTCTATGTGATTTATATTTTCTGTGGTTCTTATCCCACCTAAAAAAACTTGTATATCCTTTTAAATTTATTTTATATTTTCTTTTAATTAATTTTACATTTAAAAAAATTAAAAAATAAAAAGAATTAAAACCATTTACCCTACCCACTCACTCCATCTTTACCATACCCTACCCTACACCTTGCCTTTTCCTTTCCGGTTGATATCCCACATTACCTCCACACCACCACTATCCACCACCATTATCATTATAAACTCCCACCTATCAAACTACCACATACCCGTTAACGTCACCATCACGATCCACGACATAATTGGCAGATGGTTTTGAATCAACAAAATTACTAATTCACGAAGCCATTTCTGATTTTAGCATCAATAAAAATACATTTCAGATTCCATAGTGGTTAAAATCTACATCGATTTCATGAGGAACAAAGTTAAAAAGGCTCGACATGGCATAGAGGAAGAAACATTTCATGAAAATAGATATAATTTTAGTAAAATAGCAATAATTTCATGAAAATATAACCGAAGTTGTGCTCTTGTGCTGCCATCGGTGGTTTAGCGACGACATACCTATGGTTCGTTGGTGGCTTAAGGAAGAAAAAATGGAGGTGATCGTCTAGTGTATTAGTGAGAAATGACTTCAATCATCAGCTGGTCCAACGGTTCGTAGTTTAGTGGCGATGATGACCGTCAGTTGCTTAGTGAGGTGGTGATCACCATCATGCATAGATATGTGGCGACTATCGATTAAAAGAATATATGGTTGTCTGTGGTGTAATCTGATTCATAGAGGGAAAGACAACATCAACAGTTGGGATATGTAGTCAGTAGGTATTAAGTGTGTGTGTGTGGGGGGGGGGGGAGGGGGGATGGGGTGTTTCCATAGAGTATGACGCCGATTCCCTTCCACTATTGAAGTGTATACATTTGGGGTTGGTAGACAGGTAGGGGCGGGGGTGTTTTTTATTCTCTTTTTCTTTTCTTTTGTCCAAGTTCAAATTAGTTAAAGAAAATATAAAATAAATTAAAAATGCTATAAAAGGTTTTTTTATGTAGGTGAGAGACCAGTCATAATAGAAATTAAAAATCACAGAGACCTTCTATAAAGTTTTCTAAAATTAGGGGTTATATCTAAGATTTTAGGAAGCCACAAAAATGGAGTTTTATCTTAAACTTACAGAGACCTTTTATGAAGTTTTGTCTTAAGCTTACAAAAATTCCAATAACATGTATTCATTATATAAAATAAAAAAAATTGTAGATTCACTTACTGTAAAATTATTGAGGGTGAATTACTTATAATTATTGAGGTTAAATTACGCTTGATTGAAATTGAGTTCAATAAATAGGTCATAAGAGCATCCACAATGAGGGTTCAATAAGTGTTGAAAAGATGATGACTATAATTGAATAGAAATTTAATCAGTGGTGGAGCCAGATTCAAAGTAAAGGTGTATCCCAAATCGGGTTCGGTTTCTCGGTTTTCCAAACTCGGTTTCAGGTTTAAACTCAAAGTCATTCAAAAGTTTAACTTGTTGAGAGTTAAGTAGCTTGTGTTGCTTATATAACAGATGTATATAAGCTATATTTCATGTTATGGCCGATGTGAGACAATTTTAAAATTTTAAAAAACAAGTTGAAAATCTAATAAACAAAATAAAATATACCAATGTAACAGCTGTGACATCCCCAAAATCTCGGCCAGAAAAGATCGATTTCATTTATGCTTTTTAAAATAATTTTCAGAGTAAATCCTTTTAATTTTAAAAGAGATGCGGAATTTGTTCCCAAAGACAAAACATGATAAAATAGATATTTATCAAAACATTTCATAAAGAAATATGATTTCATTTCAAAATCAAAAGTCGGGATGTCATGTTCCGATACAGGTCATAAAGCATAAACGATAACATTACAAGTCGTTCAATAAATATATACATATACAGACTTGTAAACAAAAACAACTTGATGTTCGCCCATCTTAAGCTCTTGCGCCACTTCCTGTAAAGTAAATCAACTGAGTGGGTCAGGCTTGGGAGCCTGGTGAGCATATAGGGTTTTCAAACCCACAATAATTATATTTAATTTCAACCATCAACAATAAACCCGATTACCCATTCCCGTTATCCTCACCTTACGTTCCTAAAAATAACGTCTATTATAAGGAACTTATTTTAGGATTTTTCATCGGGACGGATATTACTGCAGAGGGGCTTCCTCAACAATAAGTATCCTAAAGGCAACCATGTGGGGGATAGAGTACACCGGTGAACACGTCGTTCACAACACCTACAGGTAATGAGCCTGCTAGTGTTCCACAGGACAGTCTAGAATAGTCCGTGGTCGTCATCCATACTCTGCTGAATGACTAGAATAACACCAATAACACCAATAACACCGAGGCCTCTCATCTGTTTATTACACACCAATTACCTACCCATGTTCTACCCAACATATTAGTAGATAAAAATATACGTTTTTATACATAGTTTAAAAACCTGTATAACATGTTTTAATCAACACATATTCCACATAACAGATGAGGCATACACACATAACACGTATTTCATAGAGAATACATCAGATCTGTAAGATAGAAGAGAGTGAATATACACTCACACGTATAACAACCAAATATATACACATAACACGTATTTTATAGAAAATACTTCATAATATTGTGTTGGAATGAAAATAACTACACACTCACTTGATCAAGAGATGATCGGGCCGCACTACGGCTTGCAGAAGAGGTGTTTCTCCGTAGATCTGGAAGATCTTCACAAAACCGGGCTCCTCGCGGGCAGCGTTTC